GTAGGACAATCTAAAAAAGTACCAAATCCAGTTTCTATGTGATGCACAAGCCTCCTAAAGTAAACTTCCCTTACCTTCCCAAACTGAGCCAAATCCTCCTTCATTTGTGTCTCACACACTCCCTCTCCCAGACACTGCAGCTCAATGTGGAAGAGTTTCAGCAAGAGAGGCGGTGCTGTCAATCCAGAAAGCAGTGGGCAAGACTGGGTGTGGTTAGGTGCTGATTGACAAGCTTAAGGCTGCAGGGACAATGCCCCCTCTAATGTCTACTGATCTATGCCTACATGAGTAACAACTCTGCTCTGAAATCAGGAGCAGTGCAGCATCACTGCTACACCAGCATAGAAATTGACATTAGATGGACTTCACTGACAGTATCAAAGGGTGTTTGTGGGACTTTGTAGGATGACTAAGAAAAAACTGTAAATGCATATTGCCTGCTACATTCAGCTGCTGAGAGTGAAGAAAATACCCGGTACATACGTGTATGGAGGAGCTCGTGACTAACTCCATGTAACAGGGCTGGGCCAATCATCAAGCACCAATGCTGTCACATGATGAGAGTCCATATCCCTGAGGAAGCTATGACTCAAAAGTCATAGCCTACACAGGGAGCGCTCTCTTGTTGCCAACACCTGATGGCTGCATCTGAGGTCTGTGATAGCAATTAGATTTTTGTGAGGGAAGGCATTATCACATGTTTTTTTTAAAGTACAGCTATACTTTAGGTCATCTACTCTGTCTGTGGTATTAGAGTTCGTAACGCAATAAAAGTCACTCACCGAAGAAGCCTGGCTAATATTTGCTGCTTGACATAACCTGAAGATCAGTGTTTTTTTTCTTGGCAAAGCTCTGGTTCGAAGAGATATTGCTCTGCTTGAAATGCCAACCCGCTCACTTGCAGGAAGAGTATTTTTCATGGTAGGTAATTACAATAAGTTGGGTTACTGAAGGTAACCCAATAAATGTCCATACTGTAGTTTTCTTATCTTATGAGAATCTGTGGCTCTGATTGTGATACAGATAGTAAGTCAAAGGTTAGCTGCAGTAATCTCTAAGCACCACAGTGCATTACTATTTGGACAGTGTTTTTTGGTTGGGTTGATTCCATCTTAGCAGTTCACTGCTGCAGGTGTGTAGGAAGAAGTAATGGGTTTGGCTCATGTTGTGCTAATGAAACCTATACAGGTCTGGCCTACTCTCTACCATGTATACATACATGTTTGAAAGATCCTTTGGACCAGCCTTTCTCAACCAGGGTGCCATGGCTTCCTCAGAGGTGCCTCAAATTTTTTGGGTAGTGGGACTGTGATGTAAAGGGGGAATGAAGACTGAGGTGAAGGGGGCCCATGATGTAAAGGGGAACTCTGGTATGAAAAAGAGGCTTCTGATGTGAAAGAGGGGCTACTGATGTAAAGGGTGACTCTGATGTGAAGGAGGGGGATCTTCATCTGAAGAGGGCAACCCACTATTTTGTGTTTTTGCATGGGGTCCCCCTTAAAACCTTCAACATTTTAGACTGGGGTGCCTCAAGATTTTGCATACTTTTAAAGGGTGCCGTGACTGAAAAAAGGTTGAAAAACTCTGCTTTAGACACACATGCAGCTGGTTCAGTAATGTTAAACACAGTGATTTGCATGTTAGATCAGGTCAGAATGAAACAGCCCTTTATGGCTATAGTATGTTGCTCTCTGCTTGAAGTACTAACATGAAAGTGAATAATTAATATTAATAAAGTTAGCTGTAGATTGTTATCTTCATTACTTGCACATTTCATCTCCATGGCCCTTTGTCCGATGCAGTATGAAGAGTGCCCATTTTATATAGTGATATGACAGAACTATGCTAATGACTGCTGTGTATTTAAAATGTGACTATAAAGTAACTCAGATATTACACACCTGTTGTGTGATACCTGTAGGTGTAGCGGAGTACACGCTGCCACAATAGATACCTTGATGCTGATACTATCAGAGGAATCTACAGCCAGCTGGTAGGCCAACATTCTCCAATGTTAATACATAGATAAGAATGTGGGTGTTTGTATTGATGGCCATTCATGGTCATGATCCGGCCGCCTAGCCTGTCATTATTCATAGCAGAACTCGACATGGTTCATTTCTTGCTGTTTTTTTATTAGAGCTCAGAAGGGTTAGAACCTTTGTCAGCATATAATTGCTGTCTGTGTTTTTATTAGAGAGATTTTGTCTCACTTCCTGTTCAAGAGGCTTTTGGTTGCTTTAACTTACATCATATACATATCAAAGCTCATCACTTTAACCTGCAGATGAATGTTCCTTTGTATTTCTAAATCCTGCATGGACAGTTATAAACACTGATCTGCTTTTGACAACAGTGGTCAGAGGCAAGCACTGTATTTATACAGCAAGTCCCGGCTGTAATATTAACAGCTGGTAATTGCTGGTAAAAGCGACTGAGGATTGGTGGGATGGGGGCGCACCGAGGGACAGGGGATGCTACATACTCTCTTTATACGTTTGTTATCTTTTGTTTGTTACCACGCCTAAGGAAAAAGGATGGTTAAAAAAACACACACAAGCATAGCAGGTTCAGAGGAGCCGCCGAACTTCAAACCGAGCTTGCCTTGTCAGCATAGAATAGGTTTTGGTTTTCTGAAGCTGCTACATTCACTTTTACGATGAATAGTTTTGACATAAAAGTACATTTTTGATTTAACATTTGAAGTTTGAGTTCAGCACTAATGCAATAATCAACCCCTGATCACTTTCTGTTTATTAAAAGATGACTATGTGGTAAGTGTTTTTCCCCATAGTTCTCCTAAGGGTCACAGGAGGACATATACTAGTGTCCTCCCGTGACCCAAAGCTCAGTATATGTCACAAGCTACAGCTCGCGGTATACTGAGACCGCCGCAGCCAGGACGGATCCTGACATTACTGCCTGGATCCACCCAGCTGCGTGAATGACAGCTGGCTCTGCCTATCTAGAGGCAGAGCCAGCTGTACACGCCCCCTCCCCAGTCCCTTCCTCTAGTCAGCGCTGGAAGATCGGAGCGGGGAGGGGGAATCCCTGCAGGAAGCCGTGAGTGACAGTCACGGCTCTCTGTAGGGAGCTGGTCGAAAAGTGAGCGAGCGACTATATGTGTTCGCTCACTTCCCGATCTATTGAGCCGACGTGTGACTGTTTCATTGTCACACGTCGGCTCAAACTATGAGGCTGAGTGATTTTTCCTCACCTCATTGTTCTCCTTTAAGTAGTGCCAGACTGTGATAGAGTACATACATACTCATGGCCAGACCTGTAAGATAAAGCTATTAAAGTAGAAATTCAGACACAGTTGAAACACACATGTGTGGATTATCTCACCTGCCAAAGGATTTATAATTCTGTCCAGCCACTTTTGAGATTAACACACTCCTGCCCGACAGCACAGACAGGAGGGTGACACCGCTTTCCTGGTTAGTTAAGGAATACAGCAGCGTCAATACCTGCAGCCTAGAAAACGACGAAGCAAGACAGGAACTGTAAGTTAGCTACTCTGCTTTCTCCTTATATCATCTTGTTCCCTGTCAATACATACAGCAAAGCCTGATTGGCTGCCAGTGCTGCCGTTCCATGTGTTTCTGTCCCGCAGTGCTGTTGTTTGGGGGATAAACATGATTACACTAAAGCTGAACTTTAGTGGAGGAATGTGGCAGGATTTACCATAATGACAAGTATGCATAGCTCATACATGTACATTTTGGCAGACTTGCCTCTAAGATTGTGACGCAAGGTCTGTGCTCCCTGCCAACTCTTTATTGATGCTGATGTCGTCATCTCCTGGTCTTGTTCTAGACCCAGCCTCTTCTTTTTTTGGGCCATTGGCCAGCCACTGATTATGCAACGCCTGCACATGCACACTGAAATGACATTACCCTGACAGCCAAACCATATTCTTGGTATTTTATGGATGTACCATGAGCACTTTGGAAAAAAAAAAGAAAGGAAACTTCAAACACAAATGCTTTGTACTTGAATTCCAGGATAATTAAATATTGTCTGAATCCAAGAGTCCTGTGTATTCTTCCTTGAATCTCAGTGGGCTTTGTGTATTTCTTCCAGATCTGTGCAGTAATCCAGTGTGAAACTTTGCCTCTGTACAGATGCTCCCTGTAATAAAGACCGGTCACTGCTGTTCTCCCTCTTGGTCTTGCATCCACCCCCTTCTGTAGTTTTCTGCAGGCAGCCTGTAATGGGAGGAGCCTTCTGGGCCCCTCCCACCGCACTGCTCTCTGCCTAGATTACATGCAGCCCAGCGATGATGTCACTGTTGCTTTAACAAGGTGCTATCGGAGTTTGCAAAGGCATTTGGTGCACACAAAGTAGATTTATCCCATTTGTGGCTATTAAGAAATATGTAAGAATAATTCCACCTTTTGCAGAAAAATGATAAATGTACACTTCCCTTCATAAAAAAATAAAAATGTAATGTATCATTCTTTTGCATTGGAGCCAGTAAATCATTGTAACCTCAATCAGTAGATTGCGGGTGCAATGCTCTGGCTTCTGCAGACTCTCCCTCCCGTCCATTCCAAGGTACAGACATGCAGTAACAGGGACCCCGCAATTCAGATAAGTGGGGAGGCAGGAGGGGTAAGTCTGCCATATGAACATGTTTTATGTTACACCTAAAATATGGGTGTAACATGAAGCACGGTCAGAAACATGAACTTTAAAATTAAAGCTATTGTGCCCCCAGTTCATCCTTACCAATCTTTCAGGTCATGTATAGGAGCAAGAAAAACAGTTGCCTGGTGCTCATTTAAATATTCTCAGGTCATTATGATATCTTTATATACTGATATAGTAGGAAAGTAAAGCCCTTGATGATCTGATAATTATATTGTTCTCTAACAAAAAATGACCAACATCTCCCACAGATGCATTTTCTTTGATGAAATGTTAATGAAAAATAACTTAATATACAATAAACTGAACAGGTTGGCATGTAAACAGGTAAATAGTTTGTCCATTAGGAAAGCCAATTTCATACAATCCTGGAACAGAATCCATAGGCACTCATAGGTCACGAGTTTTTTTTAAAAGACGTAAAACTGCATTAACTGCCTCGATCAAGCCTTCTCCAGTGTATGCACTACAGCCTTGTACTCCCCAGGGTCGATCGTCATAATTTTCCAGTTTAAGCCTGTCCACAAGCTCCTCAGTGGACAGGGCATCGGGTACATCCTGTTTGTTGGCCAAAACCAAGAAAGGAACGCCAGCCATATTAACATTGTTCAACACAGTCAGCAATTCTGTTGTGGCGTCTGGAATCCTGGACTTATCACAGCTGTCCACCACATAGATGAGGGCGTCCGTGTCTTCCAGGTACTCTTTCCAGTTAGGACGCAGCTTGGCTTGACCTCCTACATCCCATACAGTGATGAAAACATTTTTAGCCACTTCTAGGGATTCCACGTTGAACCCAACCGTTGGTAAGGTCTCTACTGTCTGATTTAGTTTAAGTCTATATAAAATAGTGGATTTTCCAGAAAAATCAAGTCCCATCATCACCACCCGTGATTGCTTCTTGTGTACAGGCTTGGAATTCTGTGCTCCCATGATGAAGTTCTAAAAGATAACATTCATAGATATTAACATAAGGAAGGGGATCAGCCTATTTACCTTTAGCAAATCAACCCCAATGAAATCACCCTAGCATGGACATAGATAGCAATGGAAACCTGACAGAGGCCCTAACTCCTCCCTAATATAATCTTAAAAAAATAAATAAACATATACTTTATAGGCCTATCCCATTGTGCACCTTCCCAGTTAGCTAACATAATTATATTGATTGAAGACTGTCAGTTTGTTGTATTGAGTGCATACAGTACATAGCCATGGTTTGCAGTTGCCTTAGTCCCCGTTCACACTTTGGCGTTGCGTGAACGCATGCCAAGGCATTAGCACATGTTCACACATTGCAAAGTGTGAATGGGGCCTTAAGCATGTTTCACCTGTTGCTACATTTTCTAAGGAGTTACATAATAAAAATGCAGGTAAGTCTACTTTCAATGTATTCATTGCTATTTATAATGATAGTGCGGGTGTTCCTAGAAGTTAAAGCTGGACTCTGTGCAAGAAAACTTTAATTTAAATATATTCCGCCATATGAATTCAGTTTGTGTGCGCCAAATGCCTTTGTACATATTACCTTGTAAATGTATCAGTGTGCTGTACATAGCCTGAGCAGAAAGCAGAGCTGTGGGAGGGACCCAGCAGGCTCTACCCACTACAGGCTGCCTGCAGAAAACTACAGGAGGGGGCGGATACAAGACTAGTCACCCTGCACAAGGATAAAGAACAGCAGTGACTGGCCTTTATTGCAGGAAAAGCTTCACACTGGATTACTGCACAGATCTGGAAGAAATACACAAAGCACACCAGGATTCAAGGAAGAATACACATGGCTCTTGGTTTAGACAAGATGTGCTTATCCTGGAGTTCAGCTTTAAAGTAGGAATCACAATGTAAAGAGAGGTAACGGCAATGTGCTGGGGAAATTTGATATTTTATAGTTAGCTGCCCTTCCCATTTTTCATTACTTTACCAGTTACCTGGATAAAACCATTTATCTTTTAAGGGGACCCCTAGTTTTGCCAATACTTGAAAACTCATCTTGGCATGAGACAACCCCATTTGCAAAAGACTTGGCCACCCACAGCTATGAATAGTCATGGCAGGAGCCAACTGCCCATATTGTTTGAGAGGCAATAGAAGACGTACTTCGAGAGCCTTTATACATGCAGCCCTCAACTAATAACATCTTCAATCCCAAACAAACACTTTACAAGCGTATAAAGGAGGTAAGGTTTGTGCTGGCTCTTGTATATTCCAAGAAGGCATCTAAACATATCCCAGTTGATGCAGAGATCGTTTTGATTCCGTCTCCCAATGCGCACCACCATTGGCCACCACCATTGGCAACAATGTATATAAGGAGGAGCTCATATGGACGGACCTTATTAAGAATAATCATCATCGTTAAGGAGTTCATAGGGGAAGTGACTGTATCTATATCACATGAGATTTTGAAGTATTTAGAATAATCTCTGTGTGGGCTATAAAATACACTTTCAACTCTCAGAAATGTTTTTACTGGCCTTCTAGTTAACTTCTACTCATCGTCATGCTTGAATCTGTCACACGACTTGCTAGCATCAGGCAGTGTATAACCAGCATAAGATATAATTATATAGTTCCCTATTCTCTACAAATTTCACGAGTCATCAATGCACCATTTGTCCAATTACTGTATATAGCTCTGGTTTTCAGTACAATATGTGCTTCTTTCTGAATACAGCATGCTTTCAGTGGACTCAATTTTAAATGGCAATAGCAAAGTTCTCCCTGTGCATGCACGAATAGGCAAGGATGAATTTATTAAACATTGTGACTTGGAGTAGCCAGTAAGTTCTGTGTGGTGTATGCTGGGTTGTTATTGCAGTGCCAAGACCTCTTAGATCAGTAAATGAACATGCTCTGTTTAAAAACAAAACAAAAAACTGTAAAATTCCCAAATCTACTAGGAAGAAGCCATGTTTAGGATTACACTTAAAAAGGTCTAGTTTAGGATTATTTTGACATTGGTTTAAAGTGGAAATTCCAGTTTTGTGGAGAAAAATATCTCCAGGTCAGGTATGTTCATTTCAAGGATTTACACCCACTTTATTGAACATGTTCACCTGACTTTGTTCTGTAGCGGTCGTGATAAGCCATGCCAGTGTAATTGCTAAAAATCAGTAGTAAGGGGTAGTGTATACATGCATAGTCACAGAGTCATGGTAACAAACAAGTCAAATTCTCACCAAAGGTGTAATGCTCACCACATATATAATTACCTCTAATGTTAGTTGTCTGCTACAGTTAAGCAAAACCTTTTCATTTTTCACAACGCACCTTACCATTGACTTTTGGCCCTACTAATCTGAAAACTCTAGATATATACTATATGGCCAAAAGTATTGGGACGCCTGCCTTTACACGCACATGAACTTTAATGGCATTCCAGTCTTAGTCCGTAGGGTTCGATATTGAGTTGGCCCACCCTTTGCAGCTATAACAGCTTCAACTCTTCTGGGAAGGCGTCCACAAGGTTTAGGAGTGTGTCTATGGGAATGTTTGACCATTCTTCCAGAAGCGCATTTGTGAGGTCAGGTACTGATGTTGGACGAGAAGGCAGGGCTCGCAGTCTCCGCTCTAATTCATCCCAAAGGTGTTCTATCTGGTTGAGGTCAGGACCCTGTGCAGGACAGTCAAGTTCCTCCACCCCAAACTCGCTCATCCATGTCTTTATGGGCCTTGCTTTGTGCACTGGTGCGCAGTCATGTTGGAACAGGAAAGGGTCATCCCCAAACTGTTCCCACAAAGTTGGGAGCATGAAATTGTCCAAAATGTCTTGGTATGCTGATGCCTTAAGAGTTCCCTTCACTGGAAATAAGGGGCCAAGCCCAACCCCTGAAAGACAACCCCACACCATAATGCCCCCTCCACCAAACTTTACACTTGGTACCATGCAGACAGACAAGTACCGTTCTCCTGGCAACCACCAAACCCAGACAGTTCCATTGGATTGTCAGACAGAGAAGCGTGATTCGTCACTCCAGAGAACACATCTCCACTTCTCTAGAGTCCAGTGGCGGCGTGCTTTACACCAGTGCATCCGACGCTATGCATTGCACTTGGTGATGTAAGGCTTGGATGCAGCTGCCTCTGCCATGGAAACCCATTCCATGAAGCTCTCTACGCACTGTTGTTGGGCCAATCTGAAGGCCACACAAAGTTTGGAGGTCTGTAGCTATTGACTCTGGAGACAGTTAGCGACTTCTGCACACTATGCGCTTCAGCATGCGGTGACCCCGCTGTGTCATTTTACGTGGCCTACCACTTCGTGGCTGAGTTGTTGTTGTTCAAAGTTGCCTACACTTTGTTACAATACCACTAACAGTTGACCGTGGAATATTTAGTAGCAATGAAATTTCACAGAACACTTGAATCCGATGATTTGGAGGGGCGTCCCAATACTTTTGGCAATATAGTAAATATGTACAGTTTTTTTTAACTGCTGTCAATCCCACCCCTACTTCTTGGCTGCTAGGCCCAAGCCATGCATTGTGGCTGGAGGTCAAATGGTCTTCCATACCTAGAAGCACGCAATAGTTTGCAGTAGGGATCACAGAAGAAGGAGCAGCGGAAGAGCACTGAAGAGGCGACTATAAAATTAGTCAGGACGGACTACTGTCACTTTGCCTTGAATTATCAAGGTGACAGTGTCTCTTTAACCTCCATGGCGGTATGATTTTGTATTTTTTTCATGTCATTTTTCGTTCTGGAATCGGCCGCAAAACACAGCGCGGCTCAAGGGACAAGGTAAGTAAATGCTATGTGGCATTCCCGAGTGTAGCTCGGGGTTACCGCTTATGGTATGGAAAAGTAACCCCGAGCTACACTCAGGAATACCGCCAGGGAGGTTAAGTGAGGAAAAATTAAGCATGCAATCTGTTCAATAACACAGTAATGATGAAATGTACTAACAATAACAAGATAACTTGAGAGAGAGAGAGAGAGAGAGAGAGAGAGAGAGAGAGAGAGATACAGATATATATAAATAATCACACATACATATTCTCTCTCTCTCTATACAATTTATACACACCCTTTATGTGCCACAGGCTGCTACTAATATTTATGTGTTTAATAATACAAAGTTGGTCAGAACCTTCATAGATGAATCTGTAAAAATTTAATGGGAGGAAAATATATATTTAAAATAAGTGGATGTAACAGGGAATAGCAGTTTCAAAGAGAGCCAACATCCCGTCTAGTAATTGTACACAGTTTTCTAGCTGCCTCCTTTCCCCTGACATAGTAGAGAACATAAGACAATAAACTACAGAATAGAGTTGAAAAAAATCTAATCTTATTTTTGGTACATTTCTGGGTATGTTTATATGTATAAGTTTTGAATATCATAAGTAGTTCTTGGATATAATGCAACTTTTTCCATTTAGGTTTTGTGGCTCTTTAAAGCGGACTGTATCTAAAATGTCATTATATCCTGCCTACATATTAAACAAACAATCCATACTCTGTCACAATCTGTATATATTCTGCATATATTTTTAATACATATAATCAATTTTATATGTCATGAGACTGTATACTTACAATCTGATTGTATCGTCCATGCACACAAATGTTGAAAATATCAGCAAAAAAAAAGAGTGCTTTGTACAATCAGACTAACATTCAGGCACCTTCAGCTGATGATCATAGACAGAGCTAACGCCTAGTATCTAATAACCTGCTGGTTACCATAGGCATTCATTTCTAGAGAATATACATATACAGTACATATCATGTTGAGTTTAGGAGTACAGAGGAAGGGTATTACCTTAATTTCAGCCTCAGATTTCTTACTGGAAATGGTGAAACTTCATGTCTCTTCTCAGTATCCTAGTCATACTCAACCAAAGACTCTGCGCGGAGAATGCAACAAAGCAGAAGTAGAAGAACTGGAGTACACAGCAAAGAACCACTCCGGAACTGCTGTCCCCTCCTCATCCAACCAGATTTCCTCCCTGGGTGTACATTTGCATATTGTGTCAGTGCATTAGATTTCCTAGATTTCTGTGTCATACTTCTCCAAACAGGTTTTTCACATGAAGTTACAATGACAAGGAAAGTTAAACAGAATGGAGGTGACAGGTGAGTATAGTGTTTGTAATTCATTGTTACCAAGCAGCCGTAGTTAGGTTGATTTCTCTGTTTGGCGGCAATTTGTCTTTTTTTTTTTTTTTACACATTTCGTAGCCACGAATTCAAGCCATTTTTCATGGTTTATGGCAGACTAGTAAACTGCATATTATTATGCGGCGTTGCTTGGATCTGGGTTTAGCTATCTGGAAATCTATAGTTTAGTGTTTTTGTATAGGTCATGTTTCTTTATTATGTTCAGGACTAAATAATACAAATTTAAATATTTAATGTCAGGTGAATATTAAAAGAGGTTATCCCCGCACTGCAAGGGTTAAGTGTTTGTTTTGGTCTAGGGCAGTGGTGGCGAACCTTGGCACTCCAGCTGTTTTGGAACTACAAGTCCCATGAGGCATTGCAAGGCTCTGACAGCCACAGACATAACTCCCAGAGGCAGATGCATGTTGGGATTTGTAGTAGTGCCAAGATTCGCCACCACTGGTCTAGGGCCTCAAATTAAAAAAATAGACTTACCTGATTCTTGGTCCATTCTGGCTGCTGGACCGGCCCCTGCAGTGTCTTCTCTCCTGGGCTCCAGTGGTCTAAGGAACCGTGATGTCATCACATCTAATGCAGGTTCATTCATCTATGTGGCGTCACTAGGGGGATGTGGCCTGCACCCGGGTGACACCATTGGAGGATTAATCGTAAATAACTGCCGCACTCCTTACCGAATGCCCCTTACCGAGTGCTGAAAGGTGGGTGCTGAAGCGACTGCGGATGGCGCCACACATCACAGTGTACATCAGAAATGTCACCAGCACACCAATGGATAATGTCCAAATAAAGCGTCTTTTATGCACGCATATTGTCACATCAAAAATGCAATGTTCCGGGGGCCGCGCAGGGTCCCCTTCATCAGGGTTAACATGACCAACATTATCCAATGGTGTGCTGGTGACATTTCTGATGTACACCATTGGAGGGGTGACACCAAAATGACTGACAGTCATTTTGGTGTCAGCCAACTCTAAAAAAAAGTCAGGTACTTAGTCACGGATCGAGAGCCCGGCAGTTGCAAAAGAGAGGAGGGGACCCGGCGGCATACCTCATCCTGCCGGGTGAACGTCCCAACAAGATGGCCGCTGGAAGGTAACAGAGTGTGACATCATCAGGCGCGTGCGCGATGACGTCATGGTGGGGTGTAATCTGGTACCCACTGCAGATGACACCCCGCCTCCCTTGTGATGCCCCCGATTCATCTGCACTAGATCTGAACACGCTGGGGAACATACCACAGCTGGAGCGGAGGGAGAGAAAGGTGAGCACTCACTGCCACAAGACTGGGGATCAGGTGTGTATATCTTCTGTATTCCGGCCCCTAGAACAAAACGAGCAGCTACACCCACACTACAGGGGGTAGTTTTTAAAGAAAAATAACTGTAGTTCTTTAAATATTGCATGTGTGCTGCTTAAAAAAAAAAAAAAAAAAAAAAAACTTATTTTATATAATGCTCAATAGCTCAAACGTAAATTTACCCAAAGAAGAAAATGAGTCAGAGGAGTGACTTAACTTGCCTCCCTGTCTGATTTTGGGTGTAAACCCTAAGTATGAACTGTTGTAAATTATGATTGAAATATGTCTGCAAGTTATATTTGGGGTATAGGAATGCTTACATGCTGAAGGAAATTCGTCTGGCTGATGTTATGCCAACTAGGTGGTGGTGTTGACTGTACACAATGGATCAACTGAAGAGAGTTTTTGTCAATAGAAACCTGTTTCGTTAACTAGATTGAGGAACATCAAAGGGGTAATTAGACCAGCCAATCAGAAATCCTTGTGAATCCAGTTATGGCAGAAAACTGTTTATGAATTCAGAGCTTAAAAGTGTCTAGGGCAGGGGGGTCAAACTCAATTTCATCATGGGCTGCGTCAGCATTATGGTTGCATCTGTAAGACTAGATAAATGTATCTACTTTTTATCATATTAAATCATTGCCTCTGCATTCCATTATTACTGGTTTTAGTAATAACTGGAAAATAATGGTAATTAGGGTAATAGTGCAGACTTTCAGGTTGGCTATGCAGGGTCTATAGTGGGCTCTGTGGACTCTCAGGTGGGCTATGCAGGGTCTATAGTGGGCTGTGTAGGATCTATGGTGGGCTGTGCGGACTCTCAGGTGGGCTATGTGGGGTCTATAGTGGGCTGTGTAGGATCTATGGTGGGCTGTGCGGACTCTCAGGTGGGCTATGCGGGGTCTATGGTGGGCTTTGCGGATTCTCAGGTAGCTGTGCAGGGTCTTAGGAGGTCTGTGCGGTCTCACCAGGGGTCCTGGTTCTCGGCGGGTATGAGCGGCGTAGAACCACAGGAAGCAGGAGATTTGCTGCCAGTGCTGTAACCTGGCACCACGATTCACAGGAAGGCTGCCAGGACCTCGGCAGCCTTCCTGTGAAGCCTGATGCTTTTTTACAGCGCCGACTTCGGTTTAAAATTTAAAGCTGCAGAAGAGGTGCGAGGGCCACATGCAATGGCCTGGCTGGCTGGATTAGGTCTGCAGGTCTAGTGTTTGACACATGTGGTCTAGGGGGAAATAGAGACATGGAGAGACACATAGGTGCACATATAGATTGGAAATATATTCTGGGTGGATAGTGTATCCTTAGGGAGCTTTTGCCATCAGAGGTCTTGATATTTTATTTTTATTATTACTCTGTTCATCTGTTTCTGGGAGCCAAAAAATACTAAACGCTCTGAAAAGAACTGAGGGTGCCTGGATATCTCCGGAGGATTGAATTATTTTACATATTCTTTTCCCAATGCACATAAATATATATATATATATATATTTACATAGATAGATAATCTATATATGTATACACACACACACACACACACACACACACATTACTGTCGAGATCCACCCAGCTGCGTGAGTGACAGCTGGCTCTGCCCATCTAGAGCCAAAGCCAGCTGTACCCGCCCCCTCCCGTTCCGCCAGTCAGCACTGGGGGATCGGAGCGGGAATCCCTGTGGGGAGCGGTGACTGGTAGTCACGGCTCTCTGCATGGAGATGATCGAGAAGTGAGCGAGGGACGGTATGTGTTCTCACTTCCCGATCTATTGAGCCGACGTGTGACAGTTTTATTGTCACACGTCGGCTCGAACTATGAGGATGAGTGAAAATGACTCCCCTCATAGTTCTCCTTTAAATGAACCACTTAATGCGTTTTGCTATATCTGTTTGATAAGTGCAAAAAAAAAATACCTGTTGATTCTGCCAGTAACCTTGAGAGTTCATAACTTTCTGTGCTCTTTGTCTGTGCTGCACTGTTACCAGTTAGTCTTATTCCCAGCTCTTTCTGTAAACTACAGAACTACAGAACACCTCTCCCTATGATATAGAGAAAACACTAAAACACTTCCTATCCTAGGCTGACAATCATGCTCTTCCATAGATACAGTGCAGTGAGGCCATGTGTTTAATTTCCTACACTAGAATGTGTTTGGTTATAATAAAATCAAGGGATACAAAGTCACCAGTACTCCAGACACATAATTGCGTTTCACAAATATATGGTGAAGAACAGCTTCACAGACATACAGGTGAAACTCGAATAATTAGAATATCGTGCAAAGTTCATTTCTTTCACTAATGCAACTTAAAAGGTGAAACTAATATAGGAGTTAGACTCATTACATGCAAAGCAAGATAATTCAAGCCGTGATTTGTCATAATTGTGATGATTATGGCTTACAGCTCATGAAAACCCCAAGAACCCCAAATCCACAACCTCAAAAAAGTAGATTATTACATGCAATCAATAAAACAAGGATTGTACATAGAACAATATCGGACCTCTGAAAAGTACAAGCATGCATATGTACTCAGTACTTGGTTTGGGCCCCTTTTGCAGCACTTACTGCAATTACTTTTGCACGATATTCTAATTATTCGAGTTTCACCTGTATATACCGATGGCTGGGGGGCTCGCAGAGTCCCTTTCTCAAAGCAACCACTCTATGTGGCCTTGAGAAACGAACCCCTGCGAGGACCAAAAACATTGCTAGATATACCTGTGATGCTGTTCTTCACAATAAATTTGTGAGATGCAATTACATGTCTGGAGTGCTGGTGACTTTGTGTCCCTTGATCTGGTTTTGGTGCAACGTCATCCAATGTGATCATTTCCAGCACCCACCTAATATTTGAGGGTCTGGAACGTGGCTTCATATATGAACGGATTTGATTCTACTAAATCCTGACTTCCTCTCTTGTTCTTAAAGTGACACTAAACCCAGAAGTAAAATCTAAAAAATGTATTCAAATACCTTAACTATTAACATAAATGTATCTTATTTGTATATCACTCGGCTGTAGATCCTCAAATCATCTCTGAATTGGTGCTGACACTGTCCTTCCTTCTGGAGGGTGGCTACTTTTGTTCCCTATGGTCCCTGTGTGTGTTGTAAAGTAGTCAGCGCTCCAAGCTCGCTCCTGTGATGGACTACAATCTCATGTTTAGTTTATTCATTTGTATTGAGATTGTAGTCTATCTTTCCTCATCAAGTGTCTGGGACTGCTATGGGGATCTCAGAAGCCCACAAAAGCAGTGGCGTAACAACCGGGGGGGGCAGCCGGTGTGCTGGCCCTGGGCGTAAAATGAAAGGGGGCTAAATGCCGAAAGTGCCATTTTCCTGCCATTTTGTCGGCGCATCCATGATTTCTTTCCTCCCCGCTGGGCGCTGCTTTGTCCCAGCAGGGAGGAGAGAAAGTGACAGCCGGCCGTGCGCTGTGGGAGGAGACCACC